CCGTGTCGGGGCGCCTTTAATTGATAACGTGTTTGGTTTGCCACAGGATGGGGAGGGACGCGCGGCGCTGCCCTCGGGAACTGGCGCCCCCGTGAAGTAGGAGCCGCCGGCCGCCCGCCTCCTCCGAGCCGTTCCGCGCCGCGGCCGCCCAGCCTCTGCCATGGCCGGCTCCGGCGCGTGGAAGCGCCTCAAATCTCTGCTGAGGAAGGATGACGCCCCGCTGTTTTTGAATGACACCAGCGCCTTTGACTTCTCGGATGAAGTGGGGGACGAGGGGCTTTCTCGGTTTAACAAACTTCGAGTTGTGGTGGCCGACGATGGTTCCGAAACCCCGGAGAGGCCTGTTAACGGGGCGCACCCGGCCCTCCAGGCCGACGACGACTCCCTATTGGACCAGGACTTACCTTTGGCCAACAGTCAGCTGAGTTTGAAGGTGGACTCCTGCGACAACTGCAGCAGACAGAGGGAGATACTGAAGCAGAGAAAGGTGAAGACCAGGTTGACCCTTGCCGCCGTTCTTTACTTGCTTTTCATGATTGGAGAACTTGTAGGTGAGTTGTGTCGCCAACTCACTTTCCGTTTACCTTGCCTTGAGAGTGTTTGTCAGGCCGTTAGCCACACATAGTTTGAGGTTGAAGCTTCTTTTCAGAAAGTTTGTATTTATCAAGATACTGATCCCAGGATGTGAAAAGGCAGGCCGCGGTTCCAAAGTGCAGCGCAGCATAAACAGCCCCAGTCATTCGGGCTTTGTCTTCTAGTTCTTCAAACACTGTGTCATCTCCTGTAAAGTTAAGGACATCATCGTCACTGTATGTCATGTAACTTCCTCTTTTTAAAAATAGTCTGATAAAATACCAGGTTAATTTTTGCATCGTTTAAAAATAGTACATGATTCTGAAATTATTTAGAATCATAGAATTTTACAGCACCAAGGGACCTTACTGAACACCTGCTTCACCTTCTTTTTTACAGATGAGAATTCTGAGGGTGCAAAGAGGTTAAATAAGTTGTGAGGCCACTTAAGGGGTTAATGAAAGAGCCACATCTACTGTTCCAGTCTCTTGATACTTTTTCTCAACAATTGGACGTAATTGATTTGTTTATATCATTTCCTTTTGTATTTATTGCCTAAATACTATCAACTAACATGAATTTTTCTCATTATAAGGAGGGTCTGAAATGAACCAAGGACTACCCCTGAGTTCTATGAATCTGGTTTTTTTTTTTTCATTTTTTAATTATAGAAATAACACATTCTTACTATAAGATATGTTCTTATTTTAGAGGTTATTTTCAGTCATGTTAGTGTAACTGATAATTTCCTAGTGACAGTTTTAAAAAGCAGGGAGATGATTCTCCCATGCTATCTTGAGCCATGGGGAGAACAGAGATGGCACTCCAGATTTAAGATGCTTAGTTGGAGATCGTACGTAGGAACATACATCTACCTCATTTCATGACACTGCTCCAGTGCTCACTTCAGCCATGCTGGCTTTCTTTTACCTCCTGCAACTCACAAAGCTCTTTTTGCCTTTAAGGCCTTCAGGTTGGTCCCTCAACCTCTGGCTTTCAAAATTTTTGACCTCACTATAGTAAGAAATACACCTAACATTGCTAACATTGTGACTCATGCATGCATACACACATGGTAAAAATATACACAAAAGTTTCATTTCATGTGATTGTGAGGGTCATGGCCATTGGCTACCAAAGAGTCGTTGAAAAATCATTGGTATGAGGCAAGATTGATTAAGGCCCAGAATTAGTTGTACTAGATACCTGTGGAAGTGTGGGTGAAGAAGACAGATAAAATAAGGAAAGCTAGTTAAAACCTGTTTAAGAACCAGTTATTATAATGGTATAATAGTTGGTATCCTCAGAGACAAGAGAAGATGATCATGTATCCATGAAGCGAGAATAGGCTGTTTTAAATAAGATGTTCAGGCTAGGCCAGGCACGGTGGTTCACACCTGTAATCGCAGCACTTTGGGAGGCCGAGGTAACAGGATTATGTGAGCCCAGGAGTTCAAGACTAGTCTAGGCAACAATAGTGAGACCCCATCGCTGCAAAAATTAAAACAATTTTTAAAAAGAAATTCAGGATAAAGGAAAGAGCTTTTGAACAATAAAAGCATAATAATGGAAAATTTTAACTCCATAAAAAGAAGATAAATTAAGGTACTCTCACAGAGAGAGTAAAGCAAAAAATAGAGATGGATAGCTGGAGTGAAAACGCAAAAAAAAAAAAATTGTTAATCTTAACTCCAAGTAATAGGAATTTTGAGAAATAGAGAAAGCACAAGGGAAGAAATAATCAATAACACAGTTTAAGAAAGTTTTCCATAACTGAAGGATAGACATTTCCAGGTTGAAAGAGTCAACAAAAGCCCAGCAATTTGGGCAAAAGGAGACCCACACCAAAATACCTCATTGTAAAATTTTAGAACCACAGGAACACATTGTTATCTGCCACCTCAGCAGCTCAGCATTAAGTATTTGCCCTTGGTTGTTTTTGACAAGGATGGAACATGGGACTGTTCACACAGGGCAAGCTCCAGTCAAACAAAAACAGCCTTGCAAGTCTTTAAGAGACCACCAGACATGTCAAAAAATGGCAGTTCTCTAGGAATAGGGCTTTGAAGGCACTCCTAGCACATTTTGCCTTCTCCAGTGGCTGCCAAACCAAGGTTTTCCTTTATTTTTTTTTTTTTATTTTTTTTTTTGAGTTGGAGTCTCCCTCTGTCGCCCAGACTGGAGTGCAGTGGCCGCTCCCGGCCACCGCAGCCTCGACCTGCTGGGCTCCAGCGATCCTTCCGCCTCAGCCTTCCGAGTAGCTGGAATTACAGGCATGCGCTACCACGCCTGGCTGATTTTTTGATTTATTGTAGAGATGAGGTCGCTCTGCCCAGGCGGGTCTCGAACCTGCGGGCTCAGGTAGTCCACTCACCTCAGCCTCCCAAAGGCGCGGGATTACAGGCTGAGCCACCGAACTCGGCCAAACCAAGGTTTTCACTGTGACTGTGGCCTCTTGGTTTTCAGGGCTACCACAGAGCTGGGGAACAACAGATGGATACAGGGCAAATTAAAGTGCTACAAAGCTAACTTCTTTCCAAGATTCATTTTGAGCAAATGCTATATGTGTAAGCCTTTGGTTAATTTGCAAAATTCAGAAAAGGTTGACTGACAATTTTTGTCCATGTTCTCATTGCTTTTATGAAGGAGATGATTTTAGAGGGCCTTACTCTATTTTTGTGGACATCACCACCATGTGGCTTTTTAAATTTCGGTTAATTAAAATTAAATTAATTTAGTTCCTTAGTTTCACTAGCCATTTTTCAAATGCTCAAAAGCCACCTGTGACTAGCGGCTACTCATAAACAGTACAGATATAGATATTTCTGTCATCTCAGAAATTGGACAGTGTTGCTTTAAAGGAATTATCCTCATTTTATAGATGAGTAAACTAATGCTCAAAAAGATTAAGTAATTTGCTAAAAGTCTCAGATTCCAAAACTCCATGTTATTAGCCACCAACTTGTATTTTATCTCAGTGCTTTCCAGCTTTTTCATGTCAGGGAATACATATTTATATAGAGAACCTTAGAATAAATGAATATGACTACAAAATCATCAGCCCCAGATCTCCTTCTGGTGTTGGCTCGCAGACCCAGCCCAGGAATGAGGGGAATCAACAGCTCAGCACACTTAACTGATCATGACATTCTGCTGCACTGTTATAACAGTGATTTTCAAAATGTGGTTCTAAGACTTGAAGCATCAGCATCACCTGGGAACATAGAAATGTAAATTCTCAGACCCGGTCCCAAACTAACAGAATCAGAAATTCTCTGGGAGTGGGGTCAGGCAGTTTGTATTTTAGCAAGCCATCCAGGTTATTTTTGGAGTTAGAGTCTCACCATCTCCAGGGTGGAGTGCAGTGGCATGATCACAGCTACCACAGGCTCGGCCTGCTGGATTCAGGCGATTGTTCTGCCTCAGCCTCATGAGTAGCTGGGACTACAAGTGTAAGCAGCTAGCGTAGCTACTTTTTTGACTTTTTGTAAATACAAGTTCTCGCCATGTTGCCCATGCTGGTCTTGAACTCCTGGGCTCAGGCAGTCCTCCCAAAGTGCTGAGATTATAGGTGTGAACCGCCACACCTGGCCCCTCCAGGTGATTTTTAGACACACAAGTTTGAGTCCTACTGTATTCATAGTATTAAAAGCTTATGTAATTAATGGTAATAGGAAAATTAGTTGTCCATAATGGGACAATATGTACACCAAAAAATGTGTAATATATAATGCCTGGAAAATCATTACCAGAAAAATTGTATCCTAAATACCACCTTTGTCCCTCTATTCAGAGATTTTTCTGTCTATATCCAAGTAAATCAGTTGATTTTTATCTTTTATGTTGAACTAATGTGTATTTTGTGTGTTCCTTCAGTTTAATTTTATGTTCACACTCACCTGAACATCTACTTTTTCTTCAGTTGTATTGTAATATTTGGATATTATTGTTATTAATTCACTTTCTAATAGTGGAATTAGTATATTGAGCAAAAGCTGCAGTGCTAAAACACAGAATTTCTCTTTATGTGTTTGCCTAGTGGTTCTTAACTTTTTTTTTTTTTTTGAGTTGGAGTCTCACTCTGTTGCCCAGACTGGAGTGCAGTGGCCGCTCCCGGCCACCTCAGCCTCGACCTGG